TCGTGGCCCGCTGCGCAGCCCGCTCCCAGAGTACAGGGCGGGTCAGAGCCCTGTCGCTTTGGATCTGGGGACCAGGCACGGCGGGGAACAATTGAGCTGGGAGACGGAGGTGGGCGAGGGAGCAAACCAAAGGAGCCCACGTGTCTGAGCCCCGCGGCTGCGGTGGGAGGTTGGATGCGGGAGCCTTCCGGCCCTGGGGCCAACATTGGGAGGTTCCTGGGCTTGGGGTGGGGTCGGAAGGATTGGAAAAGAGGGGCTGGGTGCTTGGGGAAGGCAGGAGACTGAACCGAAGCGAGTCTTTGCGTTCTCAGTACAGGACCCACAGTCGCGGTGAGAGACGGGGCGCAAGCTCCCTTCCCTGGCTCCAAGTCTGGACTGGAGTTTGGAACCCTGCTTTTGGGGGTCTTCCCTGGCAGGCAGGCTGCGACTTTTTAGGTCCTTTAGGCACGGGAGCTGCTAGACCACGGCCCTTTGCATGCACCCTGGCGCCGGGGCAGGCCGGCTGGTGTCGGGGCCGAAGGTTGGCTGGTGGCCGGGATGGGCCGGGCGCCGAGGAATGCAGATAAGGATCCCGGCCGCGAGCTGGGCAATCATTGACAGCGGGCCCCGGCTCTGGACCCGGCGGGTGGGGAGGGAGAAGAGAGGGCTGGGGCCAGGGCCTTGGGGTGGACTTAGGTGGGGGGCTAGGGACCAGACGGAAAGGATCAGGAGGGAGCACGCGGCAGTCCCTCCTTGTAGGGGAGCGCCCACAGCCAGGCTGTGCGCCTGGGAGCACTGGCTGGGCCCTGGGTTGTAGCTGTAGTTGGCCTCTGGGAGGCCGAGTCCAAGGGTCTGTGGGGCCCAAGCTCCTGGGGTTAGGGGTAGGCTAAGACTGGGCTGCGCGCTTCAAAGACACCGACAGGTGGAGGGCCCCTCCCCCGCAAACCGAGACCAGACCTTGGCGCCCCTCCCTCTACCCCACTCCCACCCCCAGGCAGTTTCTGGGTTACTAGCTCCTCTGGCCCCAGGGAGGGCCTAGAAACAGCAAGGACAGGCGGTCCCTCCCATCTTTCTCCCAAGGTGCAGACCCACCTAGCCACCCCTGTTCACCCCCCACCCCCACCCCACCCCAACCCCGCTCAAGTGAACCAGAGTGTGGAGTCAGAGGCTCAGTCTCTCGGGCCCCTTTCCGTGTGTGGGCGGCACGCAGGTGCTAAGGCCACTGAGTCTGAGAGTGTATCCTGGGTTTGCCGGCCCAGTGCGCGCGCACCCTGCGGCGGGAGACGCTCCTCTTGGCCCAGACCAGGCCTGGCCGGGTACCAAGTTCCCGCTGACTCCTCAGTGCGCCCCTTCCGGGCGCCGGCCAGTGTGAAATCCTAAGGTCCGGCAGAAGGCCCTGTGGCGCCCAAAAATGCAGGCGGACCCGGAATTCGCTCCAACACACCCTCGGCGGCGCAGCGGGGGCGCCCTGCACCTGCCGCGCCTCCCGGACCCGCGGGCCTTGGGCCTCAGCCCTGAGGCTACGGTGACACCTACTGGGCACCCTGGGCCTTGCACGCCTAGCAGGCTAGCCGCGGGCTATGGGCTCCGCTGTCAAAGCCCCCTTCCCTCTGGTCTCTGCTCAAGTCCACGCCTTGACGAGGCAGAGACTTGGGCGCTCGGCCTCTGGAGAGGCCCCGAGCAGGACAGGGATCACAGGCGGGTACTCCACCTGTAGTCGAGGCAGCCCTGAGGGTGCTGGCTGCATGCGCCCTTCAGATTTGACGCCACCACGCGGTCCAAGTCCCCAGGACCATAGGGACCCTAGATTGGGTGTGGTGGGCGGCGCTGGGGATGGCCGCCGCGCTGGGGTCCTCTGTTCCTGAGGGATTGGGCGCCCTCTCTGGCGTTCCAACTCCAGCCTGTGCCCTGGGAGAGTCGCGGGCGAGGCGGCGCCTGCGCTCCAATTGCTGCTGACTTCATGCCGCCCGCTTTCCGCTCGCAGCGCTGCAAGGACCGCCTGAACTCGCTGGCCATCTCCGTGATGAACCAGTGGCCTGGTGTGAAGCTGCGGGTGACCGAGGGCTGGGACGAGGACGGCCACCACTCAGAGGAGTCGCTGCACTACGAGGGCCGCGCAGTGGACATCACCACGTCGGATCGCGACCGAAATAAGTACGGGCTGCTGGCGCGCTTGGCCGTGGAGGCCGGCTTCGACTGGGTGTACTACGAGTCCAAGGCCCACGTGCATTGCTCCGTCAAGTCTGGTGAGCCGTCGCCTGGGGGCTGGGCCGGGGGCCGGGGCCGCAGGGAGTGGGCAGACGGCACAGGGCCCGCTGGGACGCAGAAGGTGAAAAGGCTGGGCCAGGGATGGAGGCAGGGACCCCGTGGAAGAGGACGTCGGCGGCGCTCCTCGCTGCTGCTCCTGACCGCCTGCTGGTCCCAGGCCTGGTAGTGGCAAAGCAGGAGCCTAGGGAGACAAGGCCCTGACCCCCTTGCCGTGGGTACTGACCTGGCAGTCCACAGCCCACAGCCTGCCGCAGGAGGCGCAAGACCGAGCAAGCTGCAGAGATGGAGGAAGCAGAACTGCAGGCACCCCCAATCCCATGCGGCACAGGAGGCTACGGTTGTGTGGCCCTCTGCCAAAGGGCCAGGGCCGGTGATTCCAGCGTGCCTCCCCGGGAGCCCCAGGGGTTCAGCCCCAGACCAGTTCAGGTCAGGCTCTTTAGGGTGCTATGAGCAGGCCTCCTAGGGGGCGCAGGCGTCCCCCACTGCTTCCCCAGGGCCCTGAAGCCCAACACTTTGGAGCCAGAACCAAGAGTGGACTCAATAAAATGGACTTTCCCCCAACTGGCCTCCTTGTTCATCAGAGTTGGCTGGAGGGGAGCCTTCCCCCACTCCGATTCTGGTCAGGGGCTCAGCCAATGGCACTGATCCCAGTAACAGATGCTTCCCATATTCCTCTGTGACTCCCAGCTTGGCCCGACCAGGCCCAGAGCCCTTCCCCACTCCGGCTCCACCCAGTAACCTCACACACACATGGATCCGGTCCCCCTGCAGCTCCACCCCCACCCAGCCTCCTCTCAAGCATGTCCCCCACCACGTGCTTCGAGTCATCTTGACCCTTCACACTGACCCAGACCGGTCACTTCACAACTCCTGTCCCCAACACTGCTCTCCTTTGCACCCACTGATGCCACTGTGGCATGTCCCCATACAACAAAAGATTGTGTCCCCACTGCTGGCTCATCTCCTGACCTGGCCATTCCCGTAGGGCCTGTTACCCCAAGTACCACGGTCAGGTCTCCTGTGGCTTCCATGCAGAATCAGAAATGGTGGGGTCAGTCCGAGAAGACAGTTGTTGGGGTGGGGGTGGGATGTCTGAGCAAGAGATGAGAACTAATGGGACCTCTGGACCCCAGAGGAACTAGGCCACTTCCCCCTCCACTAGGCTGCCACCTTCCCTGCCCTGAGTTATAGCCACCCTCCGCCTGCTTCCACCTACCACCTGGCCCCAGCTCTGTGCCCCAAGACATGAGCAGGTGGGGGATGGGGGCTACCCCTGGGCTTCAGGGAGTCTCTTCTCTAACCCACTGTGTCTGGGAGCCCCTATATGCGCCTCTCATTGGCAAGGGGGTGGGGGAAGCAGGTCCCCTTGGGTGCTGGATGGAGGGAATCCAGACTTCATGGGGAGAAGCAGGCAGAGGCTCGGAGCTGAAGGAGCACAGGAGCTTGGGCTGGGCGGGGTGGGGCCAGGCGGGGCTCCCCAGCAGCACCTCGCTCACGTGTCTTCTTCCCACAGAGCACTCCGCGGCAGCCAAGACAGGGGGCTGCTTTCCTGCTGGAGCCCAGGTGCGCCTGGAGAGTGGAGCGAGGGTGCCCCTCTCAGCGGTGCGGCCAGGAGACCGGGTGCTGGCCATGGGGGAGGGCGGGAGCCCCACCTTCAGCGATGTGCTTCTTTTCCTGGACCGTGAGCCAGAGCGGCCCAGGGCCTTCCAAGTCATCGAGACCCAGGACCCCCCTCGCCGCCTGGCGCTCACTCCGGCCCACCTGCTCTTCATCGCCCACAATCACACGGAGCCGGCCTCCCGCTTCCAGGCCATCTTTGCTAGCCAGGTGCAGCCTGGCCAGTATGTGCTGGTGGCCGGGCCGCCTGGTCTGCAGCCGGCCCGCGTGCTGGCTGTCTCCACACACGTGGCCCTTGGGGCCTATGCCCCCCTCACAAGGCATGGGACACTAGTGGTGGACGACGTGGTGGCCTCCTGCTTTGCAGCTGTGGCTGACCACCACCTGGCTCAGTTGGCCTTTTGGCCCCTGCGGATGCTTCACAGCGTGGCTCGGGGGAGCCGGACCCTGGGAGAGGGTGTGCACTGGTACCCAGAGCTGCTCCACCGCCTGGGCCGACTTGTGTTGGAAGAGGGGAGCTTCCACCCCCTGGGTGTGTCTGGGGCAGGGAGCTGAGCGGCGTCCCACCTCTGCCCACTCCCACCCCCCAGCACTGACGTTCTGGGTCCCAAGGCCTCCGCACTAGGAGGGCGCTGGCCCTGAAAGAGACTTGGGGAGGGACGCTGGCTTTCACCCTGAGATACACCATTGAGACTTGCCGGGCAATGCCAGCTGGTGTCCCCCAGCCCCATCTCAGTTGGCGGAAGAGCTGTAAGCTGGACTAGGGGTGTGTGGGTGGGTCTGTTCTCCTGTCCAAGAGGTTGTAAGACTGGTGCCGAGGGTGCCAACCAAACCAGCCTT